AGCTTGCAAAATGAAGGGAATACAGTAGACACAGCATATCTTGATTTCAATAAGGCTTTTGACAAGGTGTTCTTGCAAACAAGATAGTAAAATGTGGGCTAGACAATACAACTGTTAGGTGGATTAGTAACTGGTTGATTGACCGAACCCAAAGGGTACTCAGCAATGGCTCCTCTTCTTCATCCTGGAGAGAAGTGACCAGTGAGGTGCCACAGGGTTCTGTCCTGGGCCCAGTGATATTCAACATCTTTATCAACAATTTGGATGAAGGAATAGGGGGGCATGCTTCTCAAATTTGCAGATGACACCAAATTAGGAGGAATAGCTAATACCCCAGAAGACAGGATGAAAATTCAAAACCACCTTAATAGATTAGAAAGCTGGGCCAAAGCTAACAAAATGAATTTCAATACCGAGAAATGTAAGATACTGCACTTAGGGTAAAAATATGAAATGCATAGCTATAAGATGGGGGACACCTGGCTGAATGAGACTATGTGTGAAAGGGTTCTAGGAGTCTTAGTGGACCACAAGTTGAACATGAGTCAACAGTGTGATGCCGCAGCTAAAAAGACCAATGCAATTTTAGGCTGCATTAATAGAGGTATAGTGTCTAGATCAAGGGAAGTAATAGTGCCACTGTATTCTGCTTTGGTCAGGCCCTACCTGGAATACTGTGTCCAGTTCTGGGCACCACAATCCAAAAAGGATGTTGAAAAACTGGAGCGTGTCCAGAGGAGGGCGACTAAAATGGTGAAGGGTCTGGAAACCATGCCCTATGAGGAATGACTTAGGGAACTGGGTATGCTTAGCCTGGAGAAGAGACAGTTAAGAAGGGATATGATAGCCCTCTTTAAATATTTGAAGGGGTGTCATATTGAGGAGAGTGCTAGCTTGTTTTCTGCTGCTCAATAGAACAAGACCCAGAACAATGAATGAATGCTACAGGAAAAGAGATTCTACCTCAACATTAGGAGGAAGTTCCTGACAGTGAGAGCTATTTGACAGTGGAACACACTCCCTCAGAGGTTGGTGGAGTCTCCTTCTTTGGAGGTCTTTAAACAGAGGCTGGATGGTCATCTGTTGGAGATGCTTTGATTTTGAATTCCTGCATGGCAAGGGGTTGGACTGGATGGCCCTTGTGGTCTCTTCCAACTCTATGATTCTAAGTTTATCCCATGCACTGCTCTACTGTTGCAAAGCTCCTAGCAGCATGGGCAGGGCTAATCGTGTAGGTCTTGGCACTCTGCATGGTTGGTGCCATCCACATTGTAACTGGCCTTCAGATGTTGCAAGAGAGTTCCCAGAAAAGCAGGACCTGCAGCAATGCGACAATAAATCCAAGACACCTGTTCATAGTTGTTTCAACTGAATCTCCATTGGAAAACTTTTTATATAAGATTATTTGCAAATTCCAGCTGTATTGGTGTTCTATAGTAGCTTATTTACATATCCCACTTATCATGTGATGCTGCAGTCCCACTGAGAACCAGCATGGTGTAGTGCAGGGGTCAGCAAGTTCCCCTTACCTGGGGCAGGTCTGGGGATCGCCTGGTCTTCCGCAGGCCGATGGTGGTGGTGGGGAAACAAAATGGTGGCCATGGCTTGTTTGCGCATGCGCAGGAGTACTGCACATGCACAAACGAGTCACCGCTGCCATTTTAGAAAAGAAAATGGCAGCCACAACATGCATGCAGCAGTGGCAGCACGGTGGCAGTGTGCACGGGGGCTGGCGGGGGCCATCCAAAGGCCTCTGGAGGAGCGGACCTGGCCTGCGGACCATAGGTTGCCGACCCCTGGTGTAGTGGTTTGTATATTGGACTAGGAGTGCATCTACACTGTAGAAATAATGCAGTTTGATACCACTTTAACTGATGTGGCTCCATCCATTTTTGAAACACCAGCACACTTTGGCAGAGAAGGCTAAAGACCTTGCAAAACTCTAAATCCTAGGATTCCATAGGATGGAGCAACTATACATAAAGTGGTGTCAGCTGTGTTATTTCTACAGTGCAGATATATACTAGGTCTCTGGGAGATCAGAGTCCAAATTCCTATTTAGGCATGGAAACTCATGGGGTGACCTTGGGCAAGTCACGCTCTCTCAACCTCAAAGGAAGGCAAAAACAAACCCCCTCTGAAAAAAATCTTACCAAGAAAACCCTAAGACAGGGTCAGCATAAACTGAAGACTTTTTGTGGACATATCACAACAAATGTTTTCCTACAACATGGAGGGGGGAAATGGTGAGCAGCTTCCCTACCCATCCACCCTTCTCCTAGTTGTCTTTACACATGATTCATGTGCTCTTCCATTAACCTTTAATGATTAGAGGGTATATTCATACTGGTGCTTAGAAAGGTCCCTGCAGGTACAACTCAATAATTTAGGCAGAATATTATGGCTGTAGCAGTTGACTGTGGATTTCAAGAAAGGGCAGTTGGACCATGAGGAGAATGGTGTGTTTATTGCTAAGGACAGGAAGGTTTTAAATATTTTCAAACCATGGATGGTTGAATCCATGGATACGGAGGGTTGACTGTAAAATAACGAAATCAAGGTTTGCTTTTTGGAATTTATATTTAAACAATTTTTATATAAAGTATTTTTATTTGTACAAAGTATATTTATTTTTATAACAACAGTACAAAACAAACAATTAGTACATAAGTAACAAATAGCCTTGGAGGACTGTAGCTATCTTTTGTGGGTAATAGCAGTAACAAAGTCCTAAAGACATCATTCAGATTTGCTAGTTGATGAAATTAGGATCAAAGTATCTTTCCAAAGAATAGCTTGATGAGTAAGAGGTCCAATAGCAAATGAGTTGGTGTTGATGTAATCAATAAAAACTGACCAGTCCTCAAAAAAGATGTGTAGTTCTTTTTGTCCATCACAGAGTTGAAAAATATAAGAAAGCTTTTCCAATAACCCAACATCACAAACTCTTTTCCTCCAGTCGCTTATTAGTACATTCCCTGTTTTCCAGCTTCTCACAATTATATTCCTGGCTGCTGAGATGAGAAATGTTTCAGATGTTTCTTATGATGTTTCAGATGAGTGTTCTCTTTAAAATAAATTAACAATAAGAGAAGGCCCAGACAGAACATTACATTTTGTTTCACAATAAGAAAGATTTGCATCAGTATTGCATTCCAGAAATCTTTAACCTTAGGACAGTCCAACCACATGTGTTCAAAGGAACCCAAGGTGTCACAGACTCCAACATTTCAGAAAGACATCTGGGACAGTTTCATACGTTTTGGGTACCATTTGTATATTAATTTTAAGGTCCCCTCTTTTTCCGATGTCGATCTTGATTTATATGGAAGGGAGGTCCATATGTGTTCCCATGTGGCTTCAGAGTTGGAATTTTGAGAGAGCGGGTGTAATGGGGATGGATTGGAATTAAAAAGAAGAGGCATAGGGCGAGAAACATCTTAACCAGGGGTCCCCAAACTACGGCCAGCGGGCCAGACCCAGCCCGTCGAGGTCTTCCTACCAGCTCGCAGCTGGTCCCGTCGCCGCCACCACCACTCGCGGACGCCACCGGACGCCATTTTGTATTCCAAAATGGCATCCAGAGTTGTGCGCATTGTGTTCCAAAATGGTGTCTGGAGTCATGTGCATGCGCGTGCGCCTCTGGCCCCCAGGAACCGGCCCCCGGATCAAAAAGTCCGGGGACCCCTGATCTTAACAATGGCGATTATCCCCAATATAGAAAGATTTAGAATTTTCCATTCCTTAAGTTTATATATATATATTAGCTGTGGATAGTTGAATCAGTGGATGCAGAATCCATGGATATGGAGGGCTAACTGTACTTTGACTGGAGCAGGTGTTGGTGAAGGAAGGTACCATTTTCTCCTTTGGTTTCAAACCATTGCTTTCAAGTCAGCTCCAGTTCGTGACAACCCTCTCCTATCATTTTCTTGACAAGATTGACACAGAGGTTTGCCATTGCCTTCCTCTGAGATGGAGAGTGTGTGACTTACCCACAGCCACCCACTGAGTTTCCATAGATGAGTGAGGATTTGAATCCTGATCTCCCAGAGTCTTAGGCTGCATCCACAATACTGCAATAATCCACTCTAACACCACTTTAACTGCCATGACTCAGTGCTATGGAATCCTACTATTTATAGTTTATTGTGGCTTCAAAACTACAATTCCAAGATTCCATAACATTGGGCCATGGCAGTTAAAGCAGTATCAAACTGGGTTTTTTCTGCAGTGCAGACGCAGCCTGAGTCCAATGCTCAATCCACTACAGCATGCTGATTCTCAGCTGCATGAGAAAGCCCTGGAAAAGAGCACTCTTTGAGAAAGCTTCTGTGCTCCCCAGTCCCATAAACAAAAGAGAAGCAATGCTTTTTGGAATGTATGTGTTTTTAAATATTTTCAAACCACAGATGGTTGAATTTGTGGATACGGAAGGAATCCGTGGATACAGCATGGTACAGGGTGAGGAAACACACCAATGCAGGAAATGAAAGGGAAGTGTGGGGGTTTAAAAAAATGTGAATTAAAAATTCTATTCCAGAAGCCGCTACCTCATGTTGAAGGCAATGGCTTGCCAGTGTTATTGTGCCTTTGAAA